ACAAAGGGAATCTTCACGTCAGCCATGAAGACAAAATGGGAGATGTTGAGCAACAGTCCGGAAGAAACCTATGTGGATGAACACTGGAACTGTTTGAAGGAGATGTGGAAATAAACCTGCATAATCGTATAAGGAAGGAAGAAGAGAGAGGATAAGGAAGGAATAGATCTCGATGGACACATGGGAGGTGGGAGAGCATGGAGAGGAGGATGGTGAAGCAGAAGATAAAGCAGTGCAGTGCAGTGCAGTGCAGTGGAGTGGAGTGGAGTGGAGTGCAGGGATGAACAACGAGAAGAGGAACTGAGTACAATGTATGAAACACTACACTGGACAAAGAAGTGAAGAGGAATGCGCGCAAAGACAAAAGACACTTCTACTACACACTGGCAATTGAAGCAGAACAGGCAGCTGGTAGGACAGATAGACAGACAGACAGACAGACAGACAGACAGACAGACAGACAGACAGACAGACAGACAGACAGACAGACAGACAGACAGAGACCTGACAACATTGTATCAAATAACCAGGTTACTATCTGAAAGGGAGGAGATCAACGCAGATGACTCAGCGAATAGCGGACTTCAAGTGAACGTAGAGAAGATAGAGGTGATGGTGATACCCAACCAACACCACCACCACCACCAACAACAACAACAACAAGCACCAATCACCATCAATGGGAGAAACCTAGACGAAGTAGCCTCTTTCAACTATCTAGACAGACAGCATCCTTTCAACTACAGGAGTGGCGGTGGTGGCAGTGCCATAGACGAGGACGTCAAAGTAGTCAGGATCGGAAACACAGTAAGACAGGTCCTCATGCATTAACCTGAAACCAGTGTGGAGATCCACTGCACTACACTACACTACACTACACTACACTACACTACACTACACTACACCACACTACACTACACTACACTACACTACACCACACTACACTACACTACACTACACCACACTACACTACACTACACTACACTACACTACACTACACTACACTACTCTACACTACACTACAATACACTACACTACACTACACTACACCACACTCAGCATAAAGCATGAACGAGATTCGCATTTTCAACATTAATTCAATCAAGTCAGTCAGTGCTTCTATGTGATGGTTGAGAGACTTGGCGTGTTAGGAAAAGCATTTGCAACAAACTACAGACATTCATCAACAACTACCTACACTGGCTGGATAGTGAAGATGGAGATCAGATGGCCAGAATAATAATAAGGAACTATGGCTGGCTAGCTGGCTGACTGGGAGCGAATCAACCAAGAACCTATCGTTGAACAAATATGCATAAGGAAGTGGGGATGGATTGGATATGGCATGCACTGAGAAGACCATTGGGAGACATCACGCATCAGTCGAGGCCAGACCCTCGAGTGTAATCCGAAGGGGGAAACGGTGATTTGTGCATGTGATGCGATGGTGACATGGAGGAGATTGTGTGATGAAGAAATGAGAGGTAGTTGGCAGTGGTGGTGCCAGTTTGAAAAGATTGTAGAGAAGAGAGTGGGATGGAGACGTGCTACTGAAATTGTATGTTCCATTTGGAAGTCAAGGGACAAATACTAGTACTAATACTACTACTACTAATAATAATATCTCGATGTCAGAAACTATGTAGTGGAGGCTGATCGTGCCTCAATCCTTGACTGTTTTAACACTCTGATTTGAAGCACACTATAGTTCTCTTGTTTGCTCTTTTCAAAGAAAGCGTGGGCTTATCATGGAGCTTCGGTTACCTATCATAACTGAGGAGTTTTAACGATGGAAACAGGTCTAGATCATTAACTCTTTTGCAGAAGTGAAAAACATTTGTTAACTTTGAACAGATTTAGGAAATATCTGAGAAGAATTTTATCATATAATGAGTGTCCATCTTAATTTATAAACTGACATATGAAAGAAGGTAGTTTTGTACGAAATCTCTGTTTATACTTGGTGATGATTGTGAAAATGAAATGAGAATTTGGATCACAGCCGGATTCGAACCAGATGTCATTAGGTTTCCTGCCCGGTCAGCAGTTGGGTCTGGTAGCTCGGTTGTTAGATCATCTGACCGGGGAACCCATTGGTCTTTGTTTCGAATTCGGCCGTGGTCTAAATTTTCACTTCACCTTCATAATCATTATTCATTATCAATACCAGTTTGCCAAACCACTGCTATCTCAGACAGTCAAAAAGAAAATTTCTGTTTATCCATTTGGAACTTCTCTTTCATGATGTTTAACTGCAAAACTGACCTGGTAACAAATGTTCTCTGTAAGCATCAATCAAATTCTTTGGAAAAGAATTTTGTACCACTTATGTTTTTGCCTTTCATGATCATTCATTATGAGAACGATGAGTCGAGATGGTGAGTTATTTGAGTGGTTGTTTGCGGGATTATTTACTGCTGTAGTGATGAGCAATCCTGTCATCCAAGCGTGTTCACACATACTGCCATGCTATTTCAAGACATTCAGAAGGTTTGTTGATATCCTTATAATTCTCCGTTGTTATAGTGGATACAATTGATCGACATCTGTTGACATATGGGCTTCAATGCAGATGCCTCATTATCACCTGATCATTCATTTTGTTGCAAATTGCTTGGTAGTGCCCAGCAGTAGGATCAATATTACTCATTGTTGTGATGGTGCATTCAGCTGACATATCCTTAATATGATGAAACGTGTGTCCTAGATTCCACTTCTAGCCAAGACCGAGTCAATGATAAATCTGGAACCTTATTGAAATATTCTTTATTGTGATGTACGAATTGCCACTAGAATCTACTACAAGTTTATAACTTCACAAGTGAATCCTACGTCAGGAACTGACTCGTTTAAACTATCTATTTACCCTAACTGTTTTGCGGAGAGACGACCATGTTTTAGTTTTCGATTCTTATACATTTTCTAGTTATAGACAATCACTTCAGTTTGCAGATCACTGACTCTGATCCCGGTTGGAGATCCGTCTAGAATATTCTATCCCTGATGAAATGTGATTACAAGCTTAAATCTGTGTAAGTAAATACATTATAAAGAGGGAAATTCTCCTCGAAACAATGACCTTCTTATTCTTTCTATGGCAGAATACATAACGAGATTCTGGTTAATGTCAGCTAACAACTATTAGTTACCAAGTCATACACAGTAGGGTGGTATCAGATCACGCGAACTGCTGATGAAATTCCGTAGGTCAACATTTACTAGTCAGACTCACAGTCAAACTAAGGCTACTGTGAGATGACTATTTGCAAGTTAGTGAAGGTAACTGACTATAATTGAAGGCTCCAGATATTGATGGGTCATACAACACATCTTCAGTACTTAGACATTGAATCCTTGATTCTTCAATGACTGTCGAACACTAGAGCAACATTCCATTGATGATCTACCCAATTATCCTGGAACGGTTGAAAGTACTATCTGAAATACATTCTTCAATAAAAGTTGAAACACTGAGGATGTCAACCATGGAACTGATACACTTCCCAACTTGGTTTATGGATATTCTACAGGTTTGAAGAGTTTTTAGAGATGGCGGGGATTGAATTTACTATGGCACTATATTCTTATATATTTTTGTCAGTTTTTGGAAGTGGTCATCTGTACTTCACTTGATCAGAACCAGTTATGAGACTAAGTTGTCACTCCCGTCTTCTTTTCTTACTTCAAGAGTTGTATGACTGAGGGATATATGACTGTCTGTTCATTTTGCTCTAAGAGCTATTCAGTCAGATCTGTTCAACTTAGTTGAAATCGAGGTAAATTAGAAGACAATACGAAGGACTATCTTTCATTTACTAAAATGACGACTGATGATTGAAGAGAAACTTGATCTTTGACAGGATCGAAGCAGAAAGTAGTTTCAACTCAATTATACTGGAAGAATACTCTTTGGTTAGATACTTTATTACCAGTGAGGTTTTGCAGGTTAGTCTTTAAACCATGGAATGACTAGTATTGTTGCAGTACTTCGAGGCATTTTGTTTGGTATTTTTGTATGCTGTGATTAAACTATATCTGTGTCACAAGAGGTGACTATTGTGGATGGGTGGTCTAGAGGATAAGGCTCTGACGTCTGAAGTGATGAGCTCCAAGTTCGAGCCCCGGCAGGGGACAAAATCATCCACTGGGAGACAGGCACATCTGGCTGACGAGTCCCAAATAGGATGAAGTGCGCCTCCTGGATTTCAATGCTAGCTACAATATAATCCATCATTACCATGGAATGAATATGTTAAATAACACTCTCTGAAGTCCTATCACTGTCCAGGTGTTTTGGTACCGAGTGTTTAGAGTGAATGTGTAAGCAACCACATGTTTCGTACTTTTTAGCACTCATTAGCAAGGAATGCTCAAATCTATGAGGGATTTGATTGTGTAATATTCAGTGGGGAAGTAGAAGACTTCACACAAAGCTAGTTAAGCCTCGATCAGACGATAATACGATCAAACTCATTCGGCGAAGGTTTCGTCCCCAAATGACGTTCATCAGACGAAGAATAAGTCAATGTTTTCCATTACTTGATGTCGTTTGGAATGGAACGCAGGTTTCACACCAATTCAACATTCAATCACAGGAATAAGTCATCTATGAATGTACACATTTTATATATTTATGTAAATTTGTTTTTATCAATCATGTATCTGAAGACATTGAAATTCGGGTATTTCAGTTATTGAAATGAGAAAAATCGATTCAAAGAACTGATTAAGTCTTTTGCTTATTTTAACAACTAAATATTAACAAATTATACCACTGCCAGGTTCTCTTTCAATGTTTTTATTGCATCGGTAGGATAATACTGAAATAACCGTCGTTTTCATAATTACAAAGCATTAGTTTCCTTCAAGAGACTACATTATGACATTACTTGTCAACATTACCACTATCTTAATCTTTTACTGTTTAAAATTTATAAATATATGAGAAAAGAGAAAAGAATAGGTTATTGTGTAGTGTCTATGTTTTAAAAACCGCGCGTTCAATTGATCAACTGAACAGCCTTCGAATTGTTTAAATTTTCATTCAATTTACTATGATTTAATAAATCAACTGGAGAAGATTGTTGTTCAACAGGAAACAAGTGTGTTGTGTTTGGTGAAGAAATTGATGATGAAGAAGATGTTGTAGAGTGTTGTAAACCAGGGGAACTTGTCAAGGGATAAAATTGATTCATACCATCTTCATTATCATCATTATCATATGTTTTCATCAATTGTCTCTTAGAATTACTTTGTGTTGGTAATATTTGAACATTTTTCTCTGTCCATTGACTTAAATATTGATGTAAATTGTTTTTTTCAAGTGAATTTGTCAACATATTGTAAGCAGTTGTAGTTATTAAATTCTTATCCCATAGAATTTCATTTCGATCACTTAAAACATGCGCATTACCTTCAGTTGGATGTTCATGGTTCAATTTAGGAGTGCTGTCAATTTCTAGTTTTGTTTGAATAGTTCCAGTGTACCCATTGACATTTGTGGTTATCTTATTTTCGCACCATTTAAATAACTCCGGTGTTGTATACTTGGTGGTGAATACTGAATGTAATGATGTTGGCAATACTTCTCGATATGACGATGAGGATGATGATGATGTCGGTGTTGTTCCCTCGAATATACTTCTAATTGGATTGGAGAAATTTTGTTTTTGAAGTATTTCATTATCTCGAGAAGATTCATTCATATTCTTAGTGTTACTATAATCTCGATTAGTATAATCAACTTGTTGGAATACATTTTTATCATATAAACTTTGACCATTTAAAACTGATGTTGATTTATCAGAGTATAACTGAGATATAGGGAAATGTATTGAACCCATTGAATACTCTTTATTTCCAGTGAATGTTTCAATGTTTGATTGTGATTGTGATACATTATGATTCAAATTATTCACATTATGCAAAGAAGACCAGATATATTGATAATATTCTAGTAGGTTAGAATAATTAGTGAAGTCTAAAGTGTTCATATTTCTAATTATATCATTTTGTTTAATGTCTAAACATTCTTTATTGATTATTGAACCATTTTTAACCAAACAATTGATTGTTCTTAAAAAATCCAATGTAGACATTTGATCTTTTTGTAATTGATTTGACATTGATGTATTACAATATAATTTTGATAAATGTGATAATGTTTCCATTCCTAATTGAAAGTGTTGTTGATTACCTTCCGATGATTGAATAGATGATATTGTAGGGAATAATTTTGGCACTGAAACTCTTACTGATGACGACATTGATGATGACGACAATGATGATGATGATGATTGTGATGGTATTATTGTTTTTGAAAGAAATAATTTATCATTTTGTATATTCACATCTTTACCAGGATTTTGTTTTTTCCATTTTGTACGCCTATTTTGAAACCATATTTTTACTTGTGTCTCTGTTAAATTCAATGATAATGCAAGATTTAAACGTTCACATACTGATAGATAACGTGTCATTTTAAATTTATTTTCTAATGTTACTAATTGTTCATATGTAAATGCAGTTCTTGCACGTCTTGGCTTCATATTTATATCATTTGTACTCATACTACTACTATTATTATTGTTAGTAGTAGTGTTAGTAGATTTCAAACTTTTTTTAATATGATAATTATCATCATCATCGACTTTTTCTTCTTGGCTATTTTCATCATCATCATCATCATCTTGTTCTTCATCGTCAACATCATCAAGGTCATACATACTACACTGAGCATCATCATCATCATCATCATCATGACTACGATTTGAATTTCCGCTGTGTGGATTACTTATTTCTGATTGGATATCATGACTAAGTGAATATCGATTTTTCTTACTTTCCCTATTATGATATTCATATATTCTATTATAGTGTTGGTGAGATTGATGTTGTTGTTTAAGATTGCTGGAAAATTCATTAATTTTTTATACTCTTCACCTTTTTGTATGTTTTTCTCAAATATTTTATCGTCTACAGATTGTTTTATTGATGACACAGGTGATGATGAATATGAGGATAATGATGATGATGATGTTGTTGCTAAAAGTAATAATGGTAGACATTGGGAATTGTTCATTTCACATGATCGTTTATTTTTAACATCATTTCTGGTGAATATTTCTAAAGTTTTATCAGTTAATCTACGTTTACATGATTTTGAATTTAAATGTGTTAAATTTATTGATTGTTTCATTGATTGAATTGTTTCATTCGGTGATGATGATGCTGTTGATGATAATAAAGATGAATTATTAAATTTATAAGAATATTGAAAAATTTGATCTGAAGATGATGATGAATTCCTTTTAAGTATATTATGATTTATCGATGGAACTATTGATAATTCATCATTCATTTGATCAGAAAATTCATCTCCTCCTATTCAATAAAAGAAAAGAAGAAGAAGAAAGGAATTCAGCAAAAGTTATGATAGAAAAAAACTAATGAAATACAGAAAGGAGGGTTGGTGATGGTGGCGAATTAAATACGACACTTTGATCATGTTTTTAAATTTAAAGTTAATAAATTGTAATGTGGACTGTTCAGTGGATACCTCGATATTCTGTGTACTTTCACTTAAATACGAATGGTGGATAGTGGTTAGCATTGTAGTCCCGGGTACAGGTTTCATCTTGTTTAGGACTCCTCAGGCGGAGCGATATTTTGTCCTACCTGGAGGTAGGCACATTTGGCTGACGAGTCCCAAATGGGACGAAACTCGCATCCTGGATCCCACTGCTAGTCACTGTCCATTATTGGTGAATTATGTTTTTCCAATTGGTGGTATTCATTATGGAAGGATATTATTTGGCGAATCACTGAAAACCTGTGAGCACTGGACAGCTGTTTCGTCCTAACATGAAACTCCTCAGTAGTGGGTGCCCATGACTCCACAGCACCCTGTCACCTTCAAGGCTAAAACATAATCATCGTGCCGTTGGGTTGGGATTCAAGGATCTACTTTGTCCTACTTCTGTTAATTCGTGACATAGGCGCAACCTTCATTCAATTCCATGATAAATACCAATTTTAAATCAATAAAGTCCTCATAAACATCTCAATTGAAGTGTGTTTTTATTCTACAGGAGATGAAAGTGGAAATATTTTACATTCTTATTAAGTCTAATGGATACAACCACATATTCTTGTAGATAGGCAAATCAAGCCTAACCCTAATGATTGGGAAAACATTGATTATCTTAAATTTGATGAGTAGTACAAAATCCCAAAGTAGTGAACACTCTATTGCCCCCTAATCTGACACCAGTTGACTGATTAAAGTCGATTGCTCAAGTTTGTAATACAATCACTAATGTATATGGTGTGGCACTGTAGTTTAACAGTGAATCAGCTTTCATTCTTCCTGGTACTGGTCTGTTAGGTGTATTTACGATCTTAACTGATTGATATGAGGCATTGTTGAATACTCTCAAAACTTGGCAGCTAAATCAGTCACCATCTGGTTATCAATTCGTTTACATACTCCGCGGGATCATATTTAACATAACTAGATTATTAGCATATTCTGTCTGACTTATGCTGTGAATGACGGTTATTTCATCTTGATATATGACTCTTCAGTAACGCATATCTTTAGTCCAGATACATTTCCTAGGACCTAGAACTTTCAAGTTTCTATGTGAATCGAAAACGTTTTCAAGATTTATACTCTCATGCTTTCATTAAGCCATACAACAGAACGAATACTGTGAAATATCTCGGTATCTGGTGTCAATACTTCGTAAAACCTCTAGCCAGTAACTATACATTGAAAAATAATCATAATAAATCTGTGTAGTAGGCAGTGGTTGGGGGGTGGGTGATCTGGTGTGGAGTTTATAGGTGCGGTGAGGAAAGGAATAATAACAACCAAAAGAAACTGTGAAATTTCACAGCATGTGTATACACACTATCCATATTATTCAAGCAATATGGTGATAATTATCACTAAGAGAGAAGGAAGAAATTTTTTGTAAAATAAAAAGTAAACAAATTAAGTATACCACCTTGTTGAGTTTTAATAGATTGGTGAATGACTGTCTGAATTAATTGCAACCGCTACTTGTCTTACATCATCATCCTGTTGACGGTTATGAATTCGATAATATTGTAGAAATGACTGTGCACTTCTAATGTACACAGATATTCATATGCGAAAAGTAAAGTACACACACACACATCCTAAATATATACTTGTCTATACACAAAATAATGACCAGATGATGCTAATTAATTCAATGGAAAAAATCAGGAGAAAAACTTCAAAAGGAGAAAAAAAATACTTAGGTTCGTGTATTATATACACACACACACATGTATATATATGCTCACAAAGAGACATTTGTGTGTAATCATTATTTTAAATCTTCCGGTTAACTAGTGCGTTCAATGGATTTAAAACAAATACGTGTGTGCGTGCGTGCGCGCCTGAATATTCATTACTTACGCGCATGTTCAACTTAGATTTTCGTCTACCAGTTAATTCTAATAATTGTAACAACTTGATAGGTTATTTACTACTATCAATACTACTTATATTGTTGTTAGTACTACTTGTATATTAGGAAATACATTAAAGAGTTGAATTTAGGTTGGTGGTGTATGTAATTCTATTAATTAAAACATCTGGAGTAAATTTGTCTCCTTTCACTTCTTTCCTCTTTCTTACCAGTTTGAATTTATGTCACCTAGTATCTATCATCTTCATTTAAACAATACCATAACTAATGTGTTACTAACTATTTCTAGAGAAATGATGATGATTCTTAGCAGAAGAAAAACGTAATTTGCATTATATCCTGAGAGAATTGAAACTAACGAACTGTTAGATCCAGTGGTAGCATGCTCTCTGCTGAAGTTGAAGACTGCAGGTTCGACCTGTGATGGTGTGGGGTCATGGTTATGCGCTGCTGACGACGAAATGGCTGTTCACTGCTCCCAAGTTTTTAATCCATAATGAATCTCTACAAACCCCCAACCTGAAAAACTGTTACAGGTAGGAATCCGTTCTTTGGTGAAGGCAAGGGGGGGAGGTGTATGTCAAAAGTTAACCTTCTCACAATCAAGGAACTGTTGAATGAAGCTTGAACACTAAAACCTGAGAAGGGCAACCTGTTTATTGTTCACATTATTGTGTCTTTTGGCTAAAAGTTGTGCATAATTGTTTTAAAAGAAATTTAGATTAGCTATACCGATCAAGATTCGGATTTTCAACACCAACATGAAGTCAGTGCTTCTGTATAGCTCAGAGACTTGACGCGTTACGAAAAGCATTTGCAACAAACTATAGACATTCATCAACAACTGCCTACGCTGGCTCGATACTGAAGATGAAGATAAGATGGCCAGAATAATAAGAATAAGCGACAAGGAACTCTGGCCTGGTAACGAACCAACGAAGCAAGAACCTATCGCTCAACAGATACGCATCAGGAAGTGGAGATAGATTTGGCATGCACTGAGAAGACCATTAGGGGACATCACGTTCCAGGCCTGTCACCCGAGTGGAACCCTGATGGGAAGCTACGAGTTGTGCGTGCGAGATGAGATTGACATGGTGGAGATCGTGCGAGGGAGAAATGAGAGCTAGTTGACAGTCGTGGTGCCAGGTTGAAAAGATTGCAGAGAAGAGAGTGGAATGGAGACGTGCTACTGAAGCCCTATATTCTACTAGGAACCCAAACGACAAATAATAATAATAATAATAATAATAATAATAATAATAATAATAATAATAATAATAATGGTAATACCAATCAAAAACGCACTAAAGTGGATTAATTCAGACCGATTTTTACATTTTCTCATTGTCTTGAATGTCCACCTTAGAGAAATGGAAGAATATTGTAAATTATTCAACTGTTTAACGTATAAGATGGTAAACAATAGTTGTCGCCTAGAAAGAGGATGAAAGTGCTTTATTGTTCTCAAAGCCTTTCTAATCCAATTATAGACTGCCCCTGTCATGATATGAATGTCGGATAGTGACTAACAGTAGAATCCAAGAGGTGTGTTTTGTCCTATTAGGGGCTCGTCAGCTGGGTGTATCTACCTGTCAGTGAGCGATGTTAATCCCACTAGGACTCGAGCCTACTATCCATCACTAACACAAAACCAAAGTTATCTGCAATATCGAGAGAGAAACTGACCATTCCGATCCAACCAACGATTCAACAATACAAGTAGCATCGTATAAACCATACCCGTCGAACAAGATATGTCTGTCACGACTTATTGGCCTATTGGATAACTCTTTAGAGTTCGAAGCCATGGGAATTGGGTTTGAGTCTTAATGGGAAAACATCACTCCTTGGGAGGCATGTATATCCAGCTGATGAGTCCCAAATATGATGAAGCGCATATCTTGGGTTCCACTGCTAGCCATTATCCATTAATAGAGACCGGTTCAGTCAACGATGGAGTGACGGAAGCAACATCATATTTCCTTGTCATAGTTGGTGGCATCATCAAAACGGTCCA